GGTGTAGGTTTTAGGGCTCAGGGAAATTTAGGGTTTACCGTAGAAGCTTTAGGGTTCAGCGCCAATCTAGGGGGTGTGCTGAACACGGCTTTAAGTTGTCGGCTTATTCTCTCACCCCCAATAACCCTCAACCCCAAACCCTCAACCCCAAGGAAGGATTCCTTTGTGTATGTTCTTTGCTGTTGGGCGGAGTACAGGATAATACTGCAATTCCTGGGGTGTAGGTTGGGTGATAGGGTTTTGTAGGGGCTACTAGAACTCCGATTAAACATTGTAGCAACAGTGGCTGTAAGGTGGAGTGACCTCAGGTATGGGTATGTAGGGTGGCGCAAAATTTTCTCCATCCAACGTAGGCCATCGACCCTGAGCCAGCTTACCTAACGAACACTGTCTCTTTAACTTGGGGTGCTTCTATACCTAGTACATACCAGGTATGACATACCATCTCTACAACTTTGGCCATCTAGAATGGCCCAGGACAGGCTACGGGCCCACTTTAGGGGTCCATACTTCCAACAGTTTAGCTTCAATGGCCTCAACCCCTTGCAACCGATCACTAGATGTTCCCTACTTGGAGGGACATAGCCAGTAGGTTTATAATGAAATAGCTAGGGTTCCTACATGGGTTATATGGGTTACTAACCCACTTACTAACTCCCCCTAACCCTAAACCCCAAACCCAAAACCCCAAAACCCCAAACCCAAGAAAGACCCCTTGCCGCTGCGGCAGACGTAAAAGTCCGAGGGGGTGTAAAAAAAACCCTAAACGCCAAAACCCGAAACCCTAAACTCCAAACCCCAAAGCCTAAACCCGAAACGATACAGGCTGTCCCTAAACCCTAAACCCTAAACCCCTTAAAGACCCCAAAGCCTTGCACTCACTGTGCTCCTCCGCCAGGTGGTTGTCAACCCTCTAGTTGGTTTGCGTTGAGGGTTTAGGGGTTTTAGGGTTAGGGTTTAGGGGTTTCAGGGTTAAGGGGTTTTAGGTTTCATGGGTTTAGGGTATTCTGGTTTAGGGGTTTAGGGTTTAGGGGTTAAGGGTTTAGGGGTTTTAGGGGTTTAGGGTTTAGGGTCCCTGTATATACCCTAGACTGCAGGCCTGCAAGCTCTGAGACACCTAGGCTCTTGCACTTCCTGGGCTCTTTGGACAATCTTATCTCTTGATAGACCTCATATGAGCAATAGCCTAAACTCCTTAAAGGGGGGTTATATAGGGGAGTATTCTAAGGGTTATTAAGGGGGATACTCAGAGTTTAGACTCTAGCTCATATGAGTAGTATGTTATTTGCGGATATTATAGTCCCCATATAGAGTGAGATTGCATCCTCCTTCCGGGTATAGTATATTGTAGAAGAATATAATCTTACTGGGTTCACCCACCAAAACACGCTACTCATACAGCTGTAGTACATAATACCCCAAACCCTTATAGAAAGAAAGTATTTGGGCCCTACATTGTTGGCCCTAGATACCCTCCATATGCTGCCAGTTTCACTTTTTTCCCGTTAGCTTTTCTTCAGTATAACCCGCATACTCACCCCCTCGACCCCTAGAACCCGCATACACACCCCCTAGACCCCTAGACCCCCTAAACCCCTCAACCTCAAAACCCCTAAGTTACCAAAGACCTCATACCCCCCAACCCCTGAATCCTAACTCAACCGTCTGCCAGGATGGCCTCAATCCTGCTCGGATGGAGGGCTCCGCCTCAAAGCCATTGGACTTTGAGTGCCGCAAACTCACTTTGCTGAAGGTTTTTAAAGGAACTCTGGGGGTGTAAGATGGGGTTAATGGAAAAGAAAATGGAAACTACGATAATTATATAGGGGTATGATATGGGGTTATATGGGGATAATGGAAAATAAGATGGAAACTACAGTATGGGGTGTTCGCCTTAATTCCGGAAATGTATCAGCGGTATGCAGAGGCTGAACCGTTCAATGGCGAGCTTGCGTGTACTGCAGAGACAAGGAGTAGTGCTTCAGAAGCTGGCACGTTGATATCATTGGGGTGGTTGTCAAAATTATGGGCCCTTTTTGGATCCCTATTATAATACGGCACTTCATATTTAGGGCACCCAAAAAGGGACCTTAATTTTGACAACCACCCAGTTATATCTCCCCATCTCCCCTTGGCAATTGGAAAGGTACGTCCTGAGCTACGCCTTGTTCTCAGCCACTGCAGACTTGCAAACCGAAGCTCCAGGATTAGGACTGGGCTGGGCCTTGTGCAGCAAAACAGAGGTTGCCCATGTCCTTCGGCCGCCGCATCGAGAGCGATGCGCTACGTTTGAGGCGAAGGCCGCGGTGGATCTCCATTTGGGTAGTAGGGAGCTGTGAGCTGTGTCCTAGGGAGGCAGTGGCTGTTAAGGGCGGCACTGGGAGTTTAGACTATACCACAACTGGGACCCAGGGCCAAAGAGAAGTCTAGTCTCTCATTGTATGCCGGCCAAGTAATCGCAATATTTGCCATTCCTACATAGAGTCAATCTCGAGAAAGCCAAGTAGAATCGTCACTGTCGCCATCCTATTCCTTTGATTCTAGAGGCAAAATACCCGGATCTTAAACTCCATTGGCGGGTTTTCGGAAATTAGGGATCCCCTTTTTGAGGGGTCTTAGAACGATTGCAATGGGCTGATTAGAGGGTTATATGATATTAGCTAACGCCAGGATCCCTCAACATACCCCAGGCAGTGGAGCCCCCTGGGCGCCTACCAGCCATGCCGCAGACGGGTCGAGTTGCAGAGCCCATTCAGAGGCCGGAGCAGACCAAAGGGATTTCGGGTGAGCCATAATCTAAACTCCTTAAAGGGGGGTTACATAAGGGGTTTAGAATTTAGGATTTAGGGGTTAGGGTTTAGGGTCTAAACTCCTTAAAGGGGGTTATCTTAGGGATTATATAGGCGATTACTATAGGGCTTATTAAGAGGGACAGGAGGAGTTTAGACTATGGCTCAGATTGCTCAAAGGGTTTGAGGTAAAGGAAGGCAGGGTACAGCAACGAAGCCACAAGACAATGGCATCTACAATAGGGATCCTTTAGCCCAGCTGCCTTCATCCTACCTTTTGGGCCCTGTGACGAATTTCATAACGCATAGAAACCTAAACCCTAAGCCCTAAACCCTAAGCTCTAATCTCTAAGCTCTAAACCCTAAGCCCTAAACCCAAAGCCCTAAGCCCTAAACCCTAAGCTTCAACCCAAAGGATAGCATTCCAGGTCTGGGTCGGTTTAGACACGATGCAGATAACTTTGCTGTTATTGTCAATGGGCTATCCTCAGAATTGGGTTTAGGGTTTAGGGTTTCTTGCGTAAGCTATAGCACGGCACGTAGAACCCTTCGGGGGTACCAAAATGGGACCCTAATTTTGGAAACCACTATCCATGTTCTTAATGTTCCTGAGCCTCAGCCCAAGAAGGTGTCTGGCAAAACATGTTTCCACATTCACTTCCTGCACAGAGCAAGAATCCAAATAGTTGGCGAATTTACCTCTTGAGGTACAGTCTAAACTTCTTTTAAGGGGATAGTGGAGCGGAGCATTCTAGTGCTTATTAAGGGGCATGCTTGGAGTTTAGACTATGGCTCACTTTGAACTTGTTCGAAGCAACTGTGCCAAGCTTTGCAAATGTTGAGCAACCTTAACACTTTGTAGGTATCCCAGTAGTACCCTTTTCCCCATTAGGGTTTAGGGCTTAGGGTTCAGGGTTTAGGGTTTAATTTTAGGGTCTCCTTTTTAAATTGAACAGTAGGAAAAGGGTATCCTTGTTTTGAAGGGGGTTGCTGGGGAACCTACCCTAAATCCCAAGCCCTTATCATTAACGGGTTGCAGGGTAGCCTTTGCCCTTTGAGTTTGCCCGGAGTTTATGTCGACATCTGTAGGGGCCCAGGTGGAAAGCTTTGTTGACTTCATGGCCGAATTCCAAAGATCTATTATGTGTGCATTTTCGGGGGTTCCGGTAATAACGGCTATAGTATTTTGGGGTCTCTATTGGCCCCCCCATGAAGGGAAATTACCATTACTTCTCGGACGTTCAGGGTAATTATCCAATTTCTCGTATTTGGTTGGGGCAAACTCCTCACCGCTGTCCTGGTACATCATCCCAAGATGAGCTCTAGATTGGACTGGGCGTTAGGGCTGGAGTGGGCTTAAATTGCGGACTATGCTCATGTTGTCCTCGAGCGTGTTGAGGGTCGATCCCCAAAAGCAACAAAACCAGTGTTGAAACAAGAGCAAACTGTCGCAGGCAGATAATTTTAGGGCCGGCTGGGATCCAAGGCTTCGGGTGTCATTGCCCTGAGTGTCACAGAGGCAGAGAAGATCGGCCACTCCTCTTGCCTTAGCACACACACACACAGATTGAGAGTAATAGTGAGTAGTACCAAAAATAGAAAGAATATGACAACGTGTTCGGACTAAAAGCTATCAACATGAAATGGTACATGTACTTCTTACATTAAGAGACATTGGCCTGACAACTGGAAACTACGGAGTTTGCCAGGAGCCCAGAAGAAGCAGAGAAGGACCAGTGCCCCTGTATTAAACTATTATCGGACAGGTAAACCCGTTTTAAACCCTAAACCCTAAAGGCTAAACCTGGTGATTGTGGGGATAAGGTTTCAGCGTAGACAGATACCGGTTTTCCGCTATGTGAAAGTAAATCTTTATTGCAGGGAGCCGGGGAATTTCGAGAATTCCCCGAAAACTGTGGCATCAAGAGGCTACCTCTTCAGACATTGCATGAGGCATTTAGGCTTCTACATTGATGTCGTCATCACCTGTTCAGTAGCGCGTTCGCTTCAGTTGCTTTAAACAAACCATGCTGGAAGCTTCAAAAGGCCTGCCTAATGGGAACCCATTATAAGCCATTTCAGGGTTCAGGGTTTAGGGCTTTCGTTTTGTGAGGGCCTCAAGGGTATCCACATGTTGAGAAGAACAGCCCCTACACTGCCGACACTGAATCTGAAACCTTACAACCTCAGCCTAAGGCCTTGGAACTTGCAGGGGTTTAGGGTTTAGACATGAAATTCTGGCCGTGAGCCCTATGCCTTGAAAAGGTAGCCAGTACAGAAGCCTGAAGATTAAGAAGTTATCCGCTCATGATCCTCATGCAACAGAGCTGTAGCATAGCATGCCTTGTTCGAATTAGATAGACCACTGCATATGATCCTTATAAAGCTCTGGTTAATCCCAATTTCATGACCCTAAACTTCATTGCAAATCCGCACCCCTCCTATGAGGTACAAATTTTCGCCAGCCCCTATATCCCTGCGCATCCTAAATCCTGGACCCTTAAAAAATGCACCCCTGGACCCTAAACCCTAAATCCTTCAGCCCCTAAACCCTAAGCCCTACACCCGAAGCCCTAAAACCCAAATCCTTCAACCCCTAAACGCCGAGCCCTAAAGCCTCAATCCTGAAACCCCGTAAACCCTTAGCCCTAAACCCTAAATCCTTAAACCCCAAAACTCTTAGCCCTAAACTCTACTTCATTGTGGAGAAAGAGACCTGTAACAAAAATACTTCCCTACCCCTTTGAGGTACAAACTTTGGCCACTCCTTCCCCTTGAGCTTCGCGAGCTCGCAGAGCCATGCGCTTCGCGCTTCGTAGTCTGAACCTGAGAGCTGCAGAAGCGTATAAAAGGGTTTAGGGGTTAGGGGTTTAGGTTTAGGAGTTTAGGGTTTAGGGGTTTAGAGTTCAGGGTTCAGGGTTCGGGGCTTAGGGTTTAGGCTTGTGTCTGAATCGGCATGGAAATCCAGAGTTGGTACTTAGTTGATAACATGTTGGTTGGGTCCATGAATTTTGGCAGAACTGAAGTTCTTGTACAATCCCGGGCTCCAGGGGCTTCCAGCAAGAAACTGCGGCGAAGAATGACACTTGTGCCACATGGAGGGTTTCCAAGTATCGTGCGCTATTGGAGGGTAATGTCCGCGGGAAGGTACACTAACCTCTCCACCCTCCAGAGCTGTCCCCGTGCCCTAAACCCTAGATTTCACTAAACCCTCCTATTTGAGCATATGGAAGTTTCCATAGGTACTGCTAGTTTTGGGAAAGCCCCCAAATATACTGAACTCAGGATTTCGTGAAGAGGACGCAAGGAGCCTCGGATTTGGAGTTCGAGCAGCTCGGCGTTCGACAGTTAGGGATTCCGGGACCTGCTTGGGATTATATAGGGATTATATAGGGGTTATGTAAGGGTTATATTGGGGTTATATACGGGTTATATTGGGATTATATGACCTGATTGGGATTTATTGTACTGGATATACGGAGACTTGTATGTAGGAAGAGATGTCTAGGGACATCTACTTACGTCCCAGCATGGTACTCGCAACCCTAAAGCCCGAATACGGGCATTTTTGATAGTCCCTCTTAAGTAGATACAATATGGCTTTGGGTATGCTATAATAAGATCCCCATATGCCCTATATTCTATCTACTTAAAAGGGACTATACCAAGTTGCTAAGCTGGTTGTGATATCTGGGCACTTGAACTTAGGGTGGTTGTTTTGTGTGACAGGGCTGGCAGCCCTGTGCGCGTTGTGCACTGGGTTCCAGCGACGTTTAACTGAGTGATGTGGGAGTTTCTCAAAAGGATCCGTGGCCGGTTGCAAGTCCCTATAACAAGCCTCATTTTAAGTTGGGGCCAGGTAAAGCCCTAAACCTTAAACCCATTCCTTTAGAGTACTTGGGGTACTGCCCCCCCTCACTAACGATGATAAAACTTAATACGGTTATATATAGCCCTTAATAGGACCCCTAATATAGACTGTTAGTGGGTGGGGGCAGTACCCAACTTAAACCCTATAAAACCCACCTATTAACCACCCTATAATCCCAGTTTCCATTTCATT